GAAGAGTCTTAGGGTTTAGTGTATGGTAATTGCATCTTTGGGCAAACCTGTCTTTTTCTAGATGGTGCATCTACTGCTATGTCCTCACCCAGGAGGACAAGGTGTTATTGGATTTACTACCCTGTGCTGATCCAGGATAGCTGCCTCTTCTCTGGTCTTTGTTCTCTGGCTTGAGGGGCATGGAAGGCCTTCTCTGTCTCCTGGGCAGGCATCATTGCCCAGTAGGAATTGCCCATGCTATCTGCTATGTCCTGAACTTCAGGGAGAGTTGGAGAGTTACCACAAATCAGCCTTCAGGGAACTTCTATGCTCACAAATTCATTTCTCCTATAGGCAGAAAATAGAAATAGGGGGCAACAGGTAGTGTAGTGGTTAAGGAGCTGGACTCCTACATGACTGACCACTTCGAGTCCTGGACCAAACCAGTTCAAGTCCTGGACACGGTGGCTTGAAATGTATGCTGCGGCCGTGTATGTACATGCCCAAAATCCCAAGGGGAGAATGTAGGAGGAGGGATTGTGGAGTGGCTGTCCACCCTGGGGGGGGGGTGTGATTTCTCACTTGCTGTCTGTCTCTCTAGTGAGGGGGGAGAAACAAATATCTCTCTCAAAACAAATAAACAAAGAGAAACAAAATAGAAAGGGATTTAGAGTTGGTCCTCTGGGCTCTTCCTTTTCATCAAAGAAATCTCAAGAATTTCTGTTGAGGGAACCAGCAGTTAGCGTAATGGCTATGTCGCTGGACTCCCACGTAGTCAACCGTGGTTCGTGTCCCGGACCCGGTGGCTTAAAACTCACGCCGGGCGCATGTGCGTGCGTGCCCAAGATCCCGAGAGGAGAATGGAGGAGAAGGGATTGCGGCGTGACCATCCCCCCTGGGGGGTGATTTCTCGCTTTCTGTCTCTATGTCTCTCTCTGTCTGTCTGGCGAGCGCACGCGCCCTACAGTGAAAAATCTCTCCAAAAAAAAAAAAAAAAGAATTTCTGTTGATGTGCTCTGAGATTTCTCCAAGGGAGACAAGTGCTTACTTCTGAGAATTGGCAGGGTTTTCTGTCCTGTACCTATTTTGATTGCTTTGGGAAAGTCTGGCTGAAGGTTCCTCCTTCCACAGAAGTCTCCTGATGGTCACTCAGCTTTATATTTCCTACTGTAGCCTTGTTAGTTCATTCCTTTAAAAAAAATTATGATAGCGCATGGGTGTGCACAAAAATGAGGGAGAGAGAGAGAGAGAAAAGCACCCTCAATGGGTTGCCATCATGCTGAGACTCCCCTTTCCCCAGGACTCTAGCTCCTCAAGACCTTGAGTGCCCATACGTGTATACTGCATTTAGGCTGACATAGGTATCCAAACCCTTGGTCAGTTATATGGCTTGTAGCCTTGCAGGGCACCATGCCACAACAGCTGGCCCTAGTTCATTCCTTTGATACAGCTGTATTAAATACCTGCCATGTGCCAGGCATGCTGATGTGTCTGGGGAGTGGAGGCAAGCTGAGGACACAAGGTTCTGCCTTCAAGGAGCTTCAAGGTGGATGCAGAGCAGTGGATGACTGCAACAGTCACTTTTCTATACCCATTTCTAGTAAATGAGCTGCCTTGCAAACTTGTTGCTTAAGGGAGACCTGTGGCAAATCCTTTGAGAATTTAAATGCAAACTTGTTGCTTAAGGGAGACCTGTGGCAAATCCTTTGGGAATTTAAATAATTTGCCTTTTTTTTTTTTTTTTTTTTATAAATAGAGAGATTGCCATAGGGTGCTTGCACCCACTGGGGAGAGAGCGAGAGACAGAGACAGAGACAGACAAAAAGCAAGAAATCATCCCCCACCCCAGGAAAATGGCTACACTGCAATTGCTTCTCCTCCATTCTCCTATTGGGATCTTGGGCCTGCACACACATGTTCTTGTAGTGGGTTTTAAGTCACCAGGTTCGGGACTTGAACCATGGTTGACTACATGGGAGTCCAACAATGTAGCCATTACACCATCTGCCTGGTCCCAGTAATTTTCTTTTGATATAGATATATGCCTAGGCATTTGTTCATTTCTTTTGGGGTCATTTGGACTTTCATGATATCTTTCTAGGTTTTATTAACCCAGGATTTGTCTGGATACTGGTTGTTCCAAAAATCTTAGTAATTGCAGCAGTAATAAATTGGCCTGTGAGAGGAGTTGGTAGGAATTCTCTCCCAGAGATTAGAATCTGTCTCCATAGGCTGGTGGGAGCTTTATTCCATGAATATTATTGGCACCAACTGCGGGGGGAGAGGCATTGGGCTGGATATTAGACTTCTAGAGATTTCTTTGAGCAGCCCTTTTCCAATGTTTGATTCAGGGAATCCTGGTTCCACAGGAAAGTATTAAGCATGAAGTGTGGAGGAAAGAGGGGTTCTTTGATCAGATCCAGGTTTCTTCTCTGTGAAAGTTAAAGTCCTCTCATTCAGTGGCAGGGGTGTGGTGAAAAGGGAACTCTCTTACACTGCTGGTGGGATTGTAAATTGGTCCAACCACTGTGGAGAACAATTTGGAAATTCCTCAAAAATCTACAAATAGAACTACCATATGATCCAGCAATCCCACTCCTTGGTATCTACCCAAAGGACAGAAGAATACTTAATTGGAAAAGTGCTTGCACGTAGATGTTTATTGCAGCACTATTCACAATTGCTAAGTCATGGAAACAACCCAAATGCCCACGAACTGGTGAATGGTTAGAAAAACTGTGGCACATGTATTCAATGGAATACTATTCATCCATTAAAAAAAAAAAAATCCTGGCTTTTGATAGGAAGTGGATGAATATGGAAGACTTACTGCTGAGTGGAGCAAGCCATGCTATGAAGGAGAGGCATTGTATGTCCCCACTTAATATATAGTGAGTGTCTGCACTCTGTGACTGAAACTAATTGTCTAAAGGATATAGAAACGCAGTATATAGATGTAAATACCAGATATAGTGTGTGTGAAAGAGGAGGGTCTAAGGAAGGACATTTGGGGGAGGGACAGGGAGGCAAGGTATTAATGGCACAAAGAGGTGTGATATTATCTGTTGAAGATATTTTGTAGTTTTATCAACAGTACTAGGGAGAAATGTTCACCTGTTGAAATATCCATTTTGTAAGACAAATAATAATGTGATTGAATGTATGGAAGAAAATGAAATGAAAAAAATAAGTAAATAAAAAATGAATTAAAAAAAAAAAAAGCTAAGGTCCTCCTGAGATGTATACTGAATTCTCAAGAGGGGCTGGAGCATAAGTTTTCCCAGTGAATTTTTCCAAGGCAACTTTATTTATTTGTGTATTTGTTTTAAATCATACCAGTGTACTTTTGACTATGTTCTGGGTCAGTCAGGACTGTGCTCCTAGAAATGGGTTTGAATTTCTATGTGAGTTACTTTGGGGTGGCTATAGAGAGCAGTTGCCATGGAGTTGTATTTGCTTAGCAGGTGTGTTGTACTGGCAGGTCAACTGGGACTTAAAAAAGCAAAATCGTCCAATGGTGCTTTCAGATTTCAAGTTTCTGGGTTAGTAATAAGTACTTAAATTCAGAAGCGGGGACACTAATGCTCCCCTCCTTTGACACCAGCACTGACCATGGCTCAGCGATCGTCAGGAGGCCTCTCTCTGGACCTAGCTTTCTTGCAGTGGAGGGGTGGGTTAAAATGAGTTAAATGCTGTCAGTCAAACTGCTCCATGGCATCCTTGGGACCATCAACAACAACCTAAGTATTTCTGCTTGTGCCTACTTCTCTTCTTTTTATTTATATTTATAAATTTATCAGTTTATTATAAAGGATAGTACCAAGAATATAGATGATGAGATGCAAAGGGCACAATATATGGGAAGGAGTATGAAGGTTCCATGCTCTCCCTGGGCGAGCCACCTTTCAGGAACCTTTGTGTGTTCAGCTATATTTGCTTCACTTATTGGTGCTTCTGTAAAATGTTTCATTTGGGGAGTAGTGGTTAAGGAGCTGGACTCTCACATAGTTGATCACAGTTTGAGTCCCAGACTCGGTGGCTTGAAACTCATGCCAGGTGTGTGTGTGTGCGTGTGTGTATGCGTGTGTGTGTGCGTGTGTGTGTGTGTGCCCTGCTCCGAGAGGAGAATGGAGAAGGGATTGTGGCATGACCATTCCCCCCAGGGAGTGATTTCTTGCTTTCTATCTCTCTGGCAAGTTCACATGCCCTACAGCCAAAAACAACAACAACAACAAAAACCTCTGTCTCTCAAAAAAATAGTTGCATTTGAACCAAGGGTTTCTAATGCTAAAATGTTTGGAAACTCTGGGAAACACAGGCCCCCATTACTCTTTAGAGCCTTATTGAGCCTGTTGCAGTTTGGAAAATGGGTGCCTGATACCTGCATTGTCAGTACTGTGGGAGCAGGGGCCTCTGGTAAATCTTCCTTTGCAAGGAACATGACCTGTGTGTTGGCACTTGGCGAGCAGCCTGGGCCATTGTCCCTCAATTCTATTTTTAGGTACAAGTGACTAGTGACTGAGGTCCCTATGTGGAGAGGGACCTGCAGACTCACCCATGGGCAGTGGAAACACACATTTTGGGCACTGGCAAAAGTAGGAGCACCGAGAGTTCATTTTTAATTTGCAGAAGCATGATAATTTTCATAATGGCAAAAGAACTTTGTTGAATGGTCTTGCATTTTTTCTTGTTTTGAGCTTGCTTTTTTATTGTGCATTAAATGTGCATGAGGCCAGTGGGACCCCATTTCCTCAGTGCCTTGGGCCTCTCAAGGTCTCACTCTGCCTGGGATCTCTAAGGGACCCCAAAGTTCCCCTTGTAGGGTCCAACTGCCAGGTACATTACTTAGAAGATCCTCTTCTTCCAACCATTAGCATCAACTACATGAATCCCTGCCTGCCCTGAGCAAATTCTTAAAATATTTGCCCATCAACAGCCTCTTAGAGAGGAATGTTAAATGCTGCCATGATGTCAAAGGGCCCCCAAGGAGAAAGGCCTGGGCTCAACTCAGTCTGTCACTCACAGCCACAGCAGAGTGGGAGATAAGCAACAGCAAAGGCACAGAGAGAACTGGGCCCTCTGGGCTTCCCACACAACCCAGGTGAATCGTGGGCTTGGTGCTGCAGGGAGAGACCTTAACTACTATCAATGATGAACTTCCAGATGCTACTGTCTAAGTGAAAACCAGAGGTCTGTGGCTCTCCACTTTCCTCACCCTCACCCTTTGTCAAGCTTGCATCAGGATGTCAGGAGCTTCCAAAGAGGATTTGGGGCCCCGAGGGCTGCCAGCGTTGGGCAAGACCTCCTTGACCACCATGGACAAAAAACTTAACATGCTAAATGAGAAGGTCGATCAACTCCTGCATTTCCAAGAAGATGTCACAGAGAAGCTGCAGTGCATGTGCCGAGGCATGGGCCACCTGGAGCAAGGTCTGCACCGGCTGGAGGCCTCCCGAGTGCTGGGCCCAGCTGGGGTCGACCACACTCCTGCTGATGCTCAGGCCAGGTGGCCTGAGGTCCTAGAGCTGGTGAGGGCCATGCGGCAGGACACTACCCAGCATGGCACCAGACTCGAGGCCCTCTTCAGGATGGTGGTAGCTGTGGATAGGGCTATTTCTTTGGTGGGGACCACGTTCCAGAACTCAAAAGTGGTGGATTTCATCATGCAAGGAACTGTCCCCTGGAGGAAAGGCAGCTTGGCTGATGGTCCCGAGGAGGTTGGTTCCTGCTTCCCTGCCTTGGTTGCCAGGGACACCTGGGCACTGGTGGGGGGACTGGCCAGGCGGCTGATCTTAGGAGAGTGGGAGCATGTTATCCTCTTCTTGTGCCTCCTGTGTGACTTGTTGATGGGGGAGAGGAAAAATGGAAGCTTCTAGATCACAGGAGGATTTTCAGATAGGCCATTGTCTGCTTCTCTCCCCAGGGAAAGGAAGAGACATTGCCCCGGCCAGGACTGCAAAGACTAGGGCAGCTCCAAGGCACCTTGAAGTTGGGGGGGTGGGGACTGGTGACTAGGGACAAGGGGACTGTGAAACTTCTTTCTCCTTTTCTTGGGGCTCCTTTCTGCTCCATCACACCTGAGGTGGGAGACAGGTGGGGAGCGTTCAGTGGGACAGAGCCCCCTACTGTGAAACCCAATGCCCCTTCCTGTCCCCAACCTTGTGCTGTGCTCAGAGTGGGTGGAGTGTGCAGCTGCCTGTGGGGAGAGGAGTGTTGACAGTGACCCATGGGGGACAACAGGCAGGAGCCGGAGCCTGGGGGTGGAGGGTGGCATTTCTGGGAGCGGCTGTTCCCAAGGGTTGCATAATCAAACCTGCTGGCTAATGGAAGCTTGGCAGCTGGGGAGGAGTGGGGGATGAGATGTGCAAAGGGAACACCCTGTTTGGGAACAGCTAAGGGTCAGCCACTTAGCAACACTCAGACAGCCTGGAGCCAACATTTCAGATCCTTGCAGCACCCACCAGTCTCTAGCAAGAGATGAGTTGGGGGCTAAAGGGGTCTATGTCTGTCTGACTCTGTCAGCTACTGAGGCTGACACATGAGGGCAGGAATGTGCCTTCCTTCCCAGGCAGACCAGAACTTGGCCTGTTGTTCCCACCCTCTCTGCCCTGCAGCTCTGTCCTGGACATGCTTCTCCACCGCAGCTCCTTGCTGTCTGCAATGTACCTCTCTATAGGGGGAGATGTCACACTCTGCTCTGGTCACTGATAACTGGCCTCAGCTTAAAAAAATAATAATAAGGGACCAGCAGTTAGCATAATGGCTATGTCGCTGGACTCCCATGTAGTCGACCGCGGTTCGCGGTGGTTTAAAAATCACACTGGGCGCGGTTGGTGGCGGGGCCCAGAA